TTTTTTTTTCTCTATATCATATGGATTCACATGTTCATCATGAAAGAAAGAAATTTCAGCATTTTCTCCTTGTCTCACTTTCTAATTTAAACATTTTGAAATGAATATTTCTGTGAGAGTTAAAAATTTGGATTTTTATCACAATTATCGCTTGCAAAGTATTCGGACTTTGATTAAGTAGAAATGCTCACCATCATGCAATTATTCAGTCATTTCTACTTTCATTACAATTCGATGTCGACAGAATAATCTGAAATATTTCATCATGCAATGATGAATCATCTCTTCTATTTTCATTGAGATTTCTCGTCTTATTTCATCAAATTTAACCAAATAATGCGATTCTCATGTCCTACATAAAAAAAAATCAATCGAACAATGTTCTTCAATAGTTATCTTTCAATATCATCGATCAATTTAAATATCAGTGGCTTTTAAGTCACAATGTGATTAGACACTCGATTTGGTGATAAAGTAGCGTTTTCTCACTTTATTCTTGTTTCTTAAGAGTCAACATTTTAAGGTAACACAATTCTCTTTCCTTGGTCATTTTGATACTTTGACATGGTGTAGATTATTATTTTGATGTGATAAGAAATAAAAACAAATTTTCAATTTTTTGACTAGTTCTAACTAGTTGTTCACTGCATATTGTGAATTTCAACTGTCCGATAGAAAGTAAGAATTCTTCAAAGATGGATACAAAAATGTTTCAAGTTGATGATAGAATATGCAAAACAGAATTCTCTGATTGAAGTTGATGGAAAATAATTTTTTGCATATGATTCATGATCATATGCTAATCGATACAAAACAATCTGATTCGAAACGATTTTTATTATTCAATCAATTGTTCAAAATTATGATGAGAACATGTTAAAGAAATATCAATATCGACCGATGTTGAACTTTTGCACTCGATGATTTCCTTCATCATTCACATAAAGATTACCTTCTTTGTCAAATGACAAACCAATGGGACAAAAGAGTTGATTCGATTGATTTCCGTAACCATTTCCACCAACGATAACACTTCCCTGTGTGGCTCCTTGAGACCAACGCATTATTCGATGATTTCCATTGTCACCCACATAGACAGTGCCTAAGAGATCCACAACAATTCCAAAAGGATTTGATAATTGTGTAAGACTATTTCCTTCACCTTGATTACCAGCCACAACAATGCCTTGTTTTGCACCTTCCATCCACTTCATCACACGATTATTATTGGAATCTGATACGTAAACTGAATGATCTCGATCGACAAATACGTACGTCGGTTGATACAACTGATTAAGACGATTTCCTGGTCCTTTTCCACCTGCAACGACTGTTTCTTGACGTTTTCCCATTCGATAACGTCTAACTTCATGTTTATCATAATCAACAATATACAAACATTCATTATCATCCATTGTCAAGCCCCAACATCCAACATTTGAGATGATTGTTTCTCCATTTGTACCATTTTGACGAGGCCATCGAACTACTCTTTTATTCTCATAATCACAAATAATAAATGCATCTCTTTCTTTATCAATAATGACATCTGTAGGACAGTTCAACTGATCAGCACGATTTCCTGGCCCATTTCCACCAGCCACAACTCGACCAGTCGTCGCACCACGTTTCCATTCCATAATACGATGATTTGAACAGTCAGCAATATAGATAGTTTGATCATCATCAAGATACAAACCCCATGGATTGCAAAGTTGACTCACTTCAGTGCCGCGCCCATTTATTCCAGCGACAGTGATACCATGCTGGATCCATTTTGTATTCACATTCAAATCTCCATTGAGTAGAACTGGTGCTGAAAATAAAAAACACAATTTTGTCGATTGATATTGGATCAACGTACGTCGATGAAAACTAATATTTAAAGTAAAGAACTTTGATTGAGAAAGTGAGATAAAGAAAAGTTTTACTCAATTATCATATTGAACAATGCCTCAATAGTAATCTCATTGTTTTGATATTTTGAATAGAGAAAAGCCTGAAAGCTTCTATTGGACGATACCCATTCGAATTTTCTCTTCATCTAATCATCATCGAAAGACTTCTCATTTCTGAAACAAGCATTAATAATAAAAAGTCATGATTGATCATAAATATCAGTGAAGAAACTTAACAATACCTATTTGTTTTGAATAGATAATTCTTGAAAATAGTTGTAGACAATTGAAATGACTATTGAATTTCGATCGAAATCGATTCAAGCTAACTTTTCGCTTCAACTATTGTTTGAAGAAAGATAATCAATAGAATGCCTTCAACACTCTCTTGTAAATGAAATTCAAGTTGAGAACTATTGATATAATTTCAAAGATGAAATTAGAAATTTTTTTTTGAAAAGAAAAAAATGCTCGACATCTTAAATATTAGATATGTGAAAAACAGTTGAGAAAAATACTGTCAATTTCCTCTGATGATTTAGAATCTCACAGATACGACATATATTTTGAAATACTTAACACGTTCATTGATTTTCGAAAAAGTATCTTACAATTATTGTTCAGAGAAAGTTTCTTCATCATTTTTCTTTTTTATTGCTTTAACGTTTCCTTAGATACTCTCAAATATGATATCTTCTCTATTGAACATGGATGAACTTCGAATCATCAAAACTAAAAAGATGACTTATTTCTCTACCTATTCTAAATACATGATGGAACAACCATCTGCATTTCTGAATGATGTTTCCATTAGGACACGAAGAAGAATTTTTTAATGGTTCACTGTTAGGAAAATTGATCAATAGATATAAAAATTAAACAGGTGGAAAATATGTGATGTGTATTGAAGTAGAATAGGTGGGATGGAAGAACAATCTTTCGAAAGATATATTTATTTGTATAAAATTTTCAAGCATCAATGATAGATTCAACGATTGTTAGTTTTCTTTTCGTTTGATTTCTTATTAGAAGAGTACAAATGAACGAATCATTTGAATATTTCGAACATTCGTATTTATTTTCTTCTCATTTCACATCAAGAATAAAAAAAGATTCAGAAGAAGGGTATTGTCTTTCCTTTCCAATTGAAATTGACTTAAATCTAATAAAAAGTGAGACTATTTTCGAATTTTTTTATTATTCAATGTGTAAATGTTCTTCCTATGCAAAAAAAATCGTAACGTTGAGCTCATTAAGATGACTTGATGTTAGAAATTCTTTTTAGATGAATGAAAATATTCGAGAATGATTCTTATTTTAACATTCATTAGACTTTCAAGAACAATTTCTATTTTTTAAATTCAATGATAAATTTGTGTATTCTGATTTTAGTTGAAATATTCACGGTTAGGAGTTAATCATTCGAAATGAATAAAAGTCAATATTCTTCTTGTTGTCGAAAGTTAAATTTTTATTATTGAAAATGATTAGAAAAAGAAAAACCAGTGAATAAATAGAAGATCTTCGAAATCGTTCTATTCTCATTGAAGGTTCGTTAAACGATTTAAGTTTTGAAAATATCGAAAATCTTCATATAAGTGAAAAATTGTTCTGATCTATGGTGAAATGAAAATTAACTTTCGATCATTTTTCAATTCAATCTTTAGTAGAGAATGAATATAAACTTGTAGGAATTTCGTGATCTTAAATGTTTCAATAGTGAAACTTTTTCTTAAAATGAAATTCGAAATGAAACTTCACAAAGTTGAATATGATTGTGTGTCTCTTGAAGTAACTCTAATCTATAAATGAATTAATTCAGATCGATTAATGTGAAAGAGAAAAAGTGCGATTGAATAACAAATAATATTCGATAGATTTGTTGGAAAATTTCTTTTCTTCTATATTTTTAGTTCAATATACTCACAGTTGGGTTGTTGTTGTTGTTCTTCTCGAATGTAGATAAGTTGATTCCAATCAATTTGAACATTATCAATAATGATGCTTTTAGTTGTATCTTTTTGAATAAATGGTTTAAGCATTTGTTGGACTTCATTGAGTTTTGTTCTAAGTCGATCAATATCATTTTCAACAAAATTATCTTCTTCTCGACGATGACGAATTTCGTTTGTAATTGGTTCAAGTTGTTTTATTATTGTTATTCTTTGTTTATCGATTAATTCGATAAGTTGATGATGAGCTTTTTCTGCTGCTTTTTCGACTTTATTGATTGTTGTTCTTTTCCATTGTTCAATTTGATCAAAAAGATCCAATGACAAAGAATTTGATTTTTCTAATTTTTGAATTTGACAAAGAAGTTCATCATGAGAACTTACTATGTCACTATCAAATTTTATTGATAGTTGTTGTTCATGTTCTTTGAAATCCTTTGAACAAAAATATTTTTTACATCCAATACAAAAGCATCTTGCTGAAGGTTTATTGCAGAT